AGGAAGAAAGATGGACCGGAGAGCAACAGAGACAAGTGGACGAGGTGAAGCGAATCCTCACCAGACTGTCCTGTTGTGGAGACAGGTACACCTATCCGCTGCTAACCATATCACTCAATGCGTTCCCAAATGCCCTTGTACAGCTGTTTACAATTATTTTGTACAATCTAAAAGATCTAATGAGATCCAAACATGTTAAGATTTAGTAAATGGCTTATAGGGAAGCATACTGCCAGGTTCCTCACGTGTTTTGTATGCTCTCAGGTGTGATGAGAAAGCAGCGAAGAAGCTGCTGTCTCATTTCAGCGACTCTCGCACAGAGGAGAGTCAGACGGCTGTGCTAGAGCTGCTGGAGAGGGTCATACGACTCAATAAACAGCTTGAACTACAGGAGAGTCAGGCCAAGAGGGCAGAGATGGACACTGACCAGGTATGACTGCATTCAGCTGATTTTAATTTTTTTTAGCTTGTGAGATGATAACATGATATATTTAACACTTAAAGGGATAGTTCACCCAAGAAAATGAAATTCTGTCATCATCTACTTAAGTCATTTCAAACCTGTATGACTTTCTTCTGTGGAACATGAAAACAAAAATATGTGGAACATGGACAAAGAAAATGTTCCACAGAAGAGAGAAGGTCATACAAGTTTGGAGCAACATTTTGTGGATGAATTATCCCATTTAATTAAGTACTGTAATAGCTTTATAAAATTCTTCAAGGGTTAAAAGAAAACATTCTCTGAAGGTTTAATGCTGTGTTTATGACTGAATAACCATAATTACAAGTTTCCAACAAGTTCACATCTTTGTCAAGTTGAATATTAATCATTTTCATTTCTCTTATGTGATCATTATGTAAAAACAAAAAATAGTACCAAATGAATAAAGGTGCTTATTCAGCTGCCTTTATATAGCCAGAAATACCTGATGCGATTTTGCAAAAGAACAGAGATGAACAGACAGAAAAACTAAATATTTCTGGATTCATTTTGCTGTTATGAGCGTTGTCATAGAAACAAATAATGTCTGAGCTGGAGGACATGTTCAGCTGAAGAACAGAATCACATTAAACAGAAAGAAAAACAAACTCAAACACACGTAGTAACCCAGCAGTTAAAACCTTTATCAAAGATTCCAAATACTAATGAGACATTTTCATACGCAAGGGCACAAGTTCATCCAAATAAACTTTGGCTGCTGCTGCTGCTGCTGCTCTTTTAAACCTCCTTACGTCACCAAACCAGGTCTTTCAGTTCTGTTTGACTTTTACGTTCATGGTTGCTGCTGGGTTCAGGGGTGTAAAATTAGATTACAAGCGGTTGTTATGAGAAGGACAGGCTTCAGAGAAAAGCCACAGCTCTCACTCAATCTCCCACCCAAGCAACCAGCCGCGTGTGTGTCTGTGTGAACAGCCAATCAGATGACCGCAGGAATAAACCTCCAGGCTTTACATAATTACATGTACATTGAGCTGTTAGACACAGCTCAGCTGTGATGCACCAGACGTGAACTATGTTGCTAGTGCTTTTAAAAAGGCCCCACACACATTCATGGAAAAAACCATCCTCGAACACTCTGGGCATAAGCAATTTGGGCCGAGCCTTAACGCGAGCGCAGGCAGCAGATGTGGATTTTTGACATATGGTCAGACAGGCCAAAAACAAGCATATCTGAACTATTTCTGTCTGAGAAATTATGCGTCTCGGCTGAATTATGGGCTATCGGCACATCTGGCAAAGATTCTCCTAACCTGAAATTCATTGTGTGTTGGAGAGTTACTGTTTAAATCGCGCAAGGTCCGCGTTAAGTGTCGTGTGTCTGCAGATGAGGGACGCTCTGGTCCAGGAGCTACAACAGAAGGCCGAGGAGACGGAGCTGCTCCACGTGGAGCTGCAGATGCTGGAGACGGAGCGGGTGCGTCTGTCTCTGGTGGAGGAGAAACTGATGGATGTGCTACAGCTTCTGCAGCAGCTGCGAGAGCTGGTCAGTCCGTAGAGAATTGTCAGCCCAGTGATGCTATAGTAAATGTTTTCAAGCTGCACAATAGATGAGTGTTTATCAAGCACAATGGATTTTCTTATGATCCTAAAATAAGATAAACTTTATTTAGGAAGTCATCAATAGCAACACGGCCATATGATTACTATACAAGTATTTTGTGCAATTAATAGTTTCAGTATTCATCATGTCATGGCTGGTTGATTACATTTTCATTATTAATACTGACACAATAAGTATTTTGCCATTTTATTATTTTTAATTATATTTATTTTATAAATGTATTCATTAATATATAATGAATACATTTATAATAAAGATATACATTTTAATGATATGATACATTTTAGTGTAATAAAATGTATAAATATAAATTCATTAAATGTATTTAATCACCATTTATTACCATTTAATATGGTGTTACATTTTCTTGTTTTTATTGGAGAATGTCTCGAGAAGATCTTTAGGAAAGATTTTGCTCAGCACATTGGAGTCCTGCAGTGATCCTCAGCATGGTAAGAGACACAATAACTTTTAACTTGCCAGCTCTGCTCTTATAAACCTTCACTGTTTAACTGGCCTGGTATGCAGTGAAAATGTGGCAGGAGCATTAGGTGTACAGTATGCTACAAAAGTCTGAGACCACTTTAAAACCCTGGGATTTTATTATTATTATCATTTGTATTTTTTATTTTAAGATGGAAGTAAGTTTGGGGATTTTGAAAAAAAAGTGCATCAAAAGAAGTTATGTAAAATTAGTAAAATATGTAACATTTTACACTGTTCATAGATCACTAATCAAACTCAAGTTTGTGATGTTGATCATTCTTGATGTTCTTGCTTCCAATAAAGCACAAAATGCTCTTTGGATCTTTCTCAAATCATCCTGGAGAACAAGATCTTCAGGTTTTACACAAACTTTTGGGGTTTATGCAGCTTGAGCAGGATTAGTATAGTAAACTAAAACCATAAAAAATATATATTTTCATTACTTGAAATAAAATATATATATATAAAAAAATATATATATTTTAAGCTAGTTGCCAAGGAAACATTTCTTATTTTCATTAAGTTTAACGATGCACTAAAATAACTAAAACTGAAATAAAAGTTAATAACTATACAGATATTTAAAACAAAAAACTAATAGAAAAATGCCAAAAACGCAACAAAATTACTAAAACTTTAAAATTAAAAGGAAAGTGGAATATAAAAATAAACATGTAAAATATTAGTAAAAACTATAGTAGTATCTCAGTGATACTAAAATAACAGCAGTGCTGCTGTTGTTAAGAAAAAGGGAGGCACGCCAAATAGTTTTTTTTCTCTTTTTTTTTGCTGACAATTTATCATTTAAAAAATGGTGCTTATAGTTAGAAAGGAAAAAAGCAAAAAAGAAGCATTCTCACTAGTGGTCTCAGACTTTTTCAACCCTGGTGTACAGTATAAAGATGGAATTAAAAGATTGAGTCTATAGTGGATTAACCCTTCCATTGCATCTATGGATTAACCATTCCATACACCGCTGATCTGCAGGGAAAGCACATCTCTTGGAGGTGCTCAATGCTCTTTGTCATGAACTGGCTGCGTGTGAGATCCTCTCTAATGGCAAGACGATAGAGAGAGCACAGAGTCACCAGTCTCTCACCAACTCCCTGCTCATCTCCTGCTAGACATTACTGCCACCTGATGGTCACAGGATGCTACAGACCCTTACACAAACGGGACCAGAATTAGCCATGTATTTGTCTTTGTGTTTATATTTCTGTGTATAGTTGTGTAAATCATTTAGCTCATTATCATTTATAATGAAACATGATGTGACTCATTTTAAAGCTACTTTTAAAGATTTACCTTTTACAATGTCATACAATGTTGGTCAGTATTATCTTAAAATACATGCACATTACACAACAGCCTTCATTACAGCTTTGTCATGTGGTACTGAACTGCCTGATCATACAGAGACTCTCAGGTAAAGACTATGTAAGGCTCAATATATCAAGACTCATTCAAGGGGAAAACATCTATACTAGATGCAGTATATTACAGATGTTAAATACCTTAGTAAAATAAAGCTTTCGTCCATATCTTAAATACAGACTGGACAGCTGTTGAGAACTGAATTTACGCATCTTTCATTGTTTCAAAATTTTAATTGTGACTGTCAATTGTCTTTTAGCACTTCTGGGCAGTTTTGTTGTTCTTTAAGGATGATTTTTATCCATGATTTGCATGAAAAAATATATAGTATTAGAAAAACTTTACTGTCTCATAATTGTTATTATCTGTGTCTCTCTCCCATCTTACAAATATCCAAGTCCCCCCCCCTCTAAATGTCTAGAAATGAAAAACATAACACATTATAATCATTTCGTCCAATGATTTATACACACATTTTTCAAACATACATATTTCAGTTTTTTTGTTTTTTTTTCAAAACATCTACAAAGTCTTTCTGGTATTTTAGCTTTAAATAAAGCTGAAATAATTAAATCTATAGCATAAATCAATATAAAAAAAAAGGTTAAGAAAAATCATGCAAAGTAGTGCATCACAATCCCTTCATTAGAGATTTAACAGAAGGCATACAGCTCGTATGGTGACAGGAGAAAAAAAAACAAGTATAAAGGAGAATATAATTATGTGCTATAATTGTTGAACTTCTAATAGTTTTGTCCTCTTAGATGTTTTAATTGTGCAAAAAAAGCAATTTATTCGCATCTACTAAAGAATATGAGAGTCGGACTGCAGAATACTCTCAGATGCCAAAAGATCTCAGAGGTTCTTCTGGCTCAAATGTGTACAGTACAGATCAATGTGGCTTTTGAGTACAGTTACTGTCAGGCAGTATCTTTATTCTACAAAGAGTGGATGATGAGTTATTTTTACACAGGAGCCCAGAAATAAACACAGGCTCATAAAGGCTTCAGAAACCCTCTGATACTTCAATTAATTTTAATAATTGCACCTTTGGAGCCACTGGTCTCTTTACAGTTTTGTTTTGGGAACCACAGAATGCATCTGACAGGAAATTTGATGAGAACTACGCTGCATTATGATTAATAAGCACTTAATTCTGAAGTAAGATTTTATAATCTTACACCAGCACCACTAAGGTCTGGCAACAGGAAATTACTATAAGCAAACAGACAGAAAAAGCAAATTAATCCAAAAATAAACACTCACTTATTTACAAGAACATATGCTACTAATTATTTGACATAACGGCCTAAAAGTAATAAAATGCCAGGGGGAAAAAAGCAACTGGGGCCAAATACAAAGTATTAACAGTGTAATACCTATATTGAGCTTATACAAAAAACAACAACTAAGTTTAAAATGGGGCAAAGGGTCTGAATAGTGTTTACGGTTGTGCTGTGGTTTGCACTGTAGTGTCACATGGAGAAGAAACAACGGCTTTATTTTGTTTCATACCAGTAAGGAAAGAGCAGGGATGATGAGTACATTTGGGTGAGCCTGCTTCCTGTTGACGTCTCTTCCTCCCTCTGCTGTCCCTCCCTCAAAGGGCGAGTGGCCGGCTTAGCAACCAAAGGTCTCCTGGGAGGCGTAAACCATGTAGAGGAAGCCATCTTCATCTCGCTCTTGTTCGTAGATCTCAGAAATGGGGGTGGACACACTGACCATGCTGTGCTGGTTGACAAGAAGGAAAAACGCCTGGGTGGGGTTGAGCTGCAGTCTACGCCTGGAAAAAAGTGACATTTTGATTACTGATTAAAATGACAAAAACATGCACATTCAAGACAAATTAAAGGGATATTCTGGGTTCAGTACAAGTTCAGCTCAGTCGACAGCATTTGTGGCATAATAATGATTACCACAAAAATCAATTTCCACTTGTTCCTCATTTTCTTTAAAACAAAAATCTGATTTACAGTGAGATGCTTACAATCGAAGTAAACGTTAAAATACTCAACGTTTCAATAATATAGCCACAAGATGCGAGCAATATGCCTGATATGATTTTTGCGTGAAAAATATCACTTATAAAAATGTCACTTATTAAAATTTGTGTACGGGTATGTCCAATTTAGCAATTTGAAAACCCTAAAACTGTATAAATGATGATTTAAAAAGCTTTAAAGCTCTTTTTATACACAAGTTTTAAAATTAATAAAAACTTCACATTTATGCCTTTAAATCTTTAGAAATCTGGTCTCATTAACTTAGACTGAAAATCTGCTTTAAAAAAAGCAAAAAATCTGGTTTACAGTGAGATATTTCCAATGGAAGTAAATCTTAAAATACTCAGTTTCAATACTATAGCCACAAGACACAAGCAATATGCTTAATAATATATTAGTGTTAAAAAAAAAAAATCACATTTTTGTTTCCATGAAAACCCTTAAAGGAACACTCCACTATTTTTGAAAATAGGCTCATTTTCCAACTCCCCTAGAGTTAAACAGTTGAGTTTTACCGTTTTCGAATCCATTCAGCCGATCTCCAGGTCTGGCGGTAGCATTTTTAGCTTAGCTTAGCATAGATAATTGAATCTGATTAGACCGTTAGCATCTCGCTCAAAAAAGACCAAAGAGTTTCTATATTTTTCCTACTTAAAACTTGACTCTTCTGTAGTTACAAGTGTACTAAGACTGACGGAAAATGAACAGTTGCAATTTTCTTGGCCGATATGGCTAGGAACCTTTGGTCTTTTTTGAGCGAGATGCTAACGGTCTAATCAGATTCAATGATCTATGCTAAGCTACAGCTAAACGTGCTACCACTAGACCCAGAGATCGGCTGAATGGATTCGAAAACGGTAAAACTTAACTGTTTAACTCTAGGGGAGTTGGAAAATGAGCCTATTTTCAAAAATAGTGGAGTGTTCCTTTAAACAACTACATAACTGATTTAACAATACAGCTCAAATAATACACACATTAAAAAAAAATAAACTTCATATTTCTGAGGATTTAAATAAATCCTCATTTTTAAAGGATCTTTTTTAAAGAAAACAAAGGATGAGTCAAAATAATTTTTTGTGGTAATTAAGCCACAAAATTATGTTGATTGACTAACTTGTATTGAACCTGAAATATTTTTATAATTCATGTCCACGTGTTTATTTATTTTGTTAATAGCCATTTAAAATGTGATGCTAGTGCAGTAGAAATGACACACTTTGCCTTTAAATTCTGATAATCACTTAATCATTATTTCAAGTCTGAACTATAAATAATGCAGCAGTCATGACTAGTCGCCAAGGATTATGAAGTATGATGGGTCGCATGGGTCCAACAAAATGTTCTTAGTCTGATCATCTGACTGAGTCTGTGTTAAAATACTGGAAGGCAACACTGATCTACAAGCTTCCTTTAAGAGGAAAGTTTAGCTCACTAGAGTCTTGTTTTAAAAATAATACACCACAGTGGATATAGGAAAATAATACACTACAGAGAATGTGGATGTTGTGCAAAGAGTTTTCGAGTTTGAACTGTTTAAAAGCGTTTGTATTAGTCCCCTGTGGATGACGGGGTCAGCAGACACTCAAAATTGGCACACCATTGCATTCCCCTCCCCCACCCTGCTTCAAACCCCCACCAGACGAGTAAACAAACTGGACGAGGCTGAATCACACGACTCACTGCAAGTGACTTGTACATGGACAAAAAAAGCTCTCTGTGTATCTCAGTGATATTAAATGAAAGTCATGCAGGAATGTACACTCAACAACCCGGTTCTAAAAATTTAACAAGTTAAAAAAAAAAGAATTTTAAAGGTCCAAAATTGGATTTAAGGATATTATGTTTACCTGATTATCTTTACCAGCTCACTCATGTTAACATGGTCAGGAACGAGGAACTTGGTCTTGTCCAAGACGGGAAGTTGCTTTTCCCCCTTATACCTCTCAATGATCACCTGGAATAAAAAATATTAACAAGACAAATGATATAGTCTTTTGACACAGTATTGAAATAGGTCTAGAGCAGTGCTTCTTTATTCCAAGGTACCCAACTGTCCATAACAATGTTTATTCAAACAATATCCATTAATTTTCCAGTTGTTTCAGATTTACTGGTTAAGTATATGGATTTTTTTTTATTATTAATTTCTACCCAGCAAAATACTTTAGAGCAGATCATAACTAGAAAAATGTATAAAAAATCCCCATAGAGTTTTAAGATTTTACTGATGTACATGACTTTTCCAGGTCTAGAAATCACACTTTTAAAATTAGGCTTCCTCCAGGGTTATTATAGGTAACTAGCACTAAAACAAAACAAAAAAAACTAAATAATAATAATAATAATAATAATAAAATGTATCATCAGAATAAAATAAATGTTAACTGAAATAAAATTGAATATAAAAAACTTTTTATTTCAGTTAGTTACCAAGGCAACATTTATTTAATTGATGAATTGATTTAAGTAATTGATGTACTAAAATTACTCAAACTAAAATTAATATAAATAAGGTTAATAAAAACCTATATAGACATATATATAAATCATGACAAATAAACATGACGAAAACCCACAACAAAAACAAAAACTTTTTTAAAATATTAATAAAGCCTATGATAGCATCTCAGTGATATAAAATAACACTGGCTTCCTCACATGTCCTGGTTTCCCAAGACCATGGGAACCCTGGTTCTTCAAAGGGGGGAAATTAAAATATGAAATATATTGATTTTTTGTTGTTGTTTTAGCTTATTTTAAAGCCCCCTTAGAAGAATCTTAGCATCTTAAAATAAATCTCTTGAAAGCAATAAGGCTTCACTCAGGCTTAATTCATTTATGACACATCCATAAGACAAAACCGTTTCTCACAGGAATTTTATTGGGATGCTGCTCTCGTATCTGCTGCACTTCCTTGCAACGATCAGCTGAAAAACAAGAAAAATAAAACAAAAATGTAGTACTTTAAATGACCATAGACTACAACACTATACTAGGATGTGTTTATGTAACTAAAAACACACATGATTGACATGACTGTAGTCATCCCTCATTCCTCTAAACACTACAGTAACTGCATTAGCATCACTTATGTAAAACCTGTTTAGCAGAAACAGGCTATAAACATTCTTGATGCATAGGCAAATAGTAAAGATTGATTATTGCTGATATGTTGTTGCCTTGCTGTTTGACATAGCCCACTGTACTTTAACCATATAACATATATAAGATATATATACTGCATTAGCATCACTTATGTAAAACCTGTTTAGCAGAAACAGGCTATAAACATTCTTGATGCATAGGCAAATAGTAAAGATTGATTGTTGTTGCCTTGCTGTTTGACATAGCCCACTGTACTTTAACCATATAACATATATAAGATATATAAATATAAAAAAGTAATTCTTCCCAAAGAGTTTAATATCTAGCGTTTGTGACATGTCTGCTATGAAACCAGAGTAAAACAATTGATTTCACATGGGATTAGTACTCTTATTTTATCCGGAGTAACCCAATTTTATCTGAGAAAAGTCAATTGATCAGTCTTTTTGTTTTAAGAGCATAATGTTTGGGTCAATCCAAGTAACGCTGAGAAAAAACATGCATGTCAAAATGCTAAAACACAATGTCAAGTCAGCTTGCTTATTGGGACAGCTCGGTGTCAATGTATCATCTTAACTAAGCCCATGTCAGGGTCATTCTAGTCAATTACATAATCCCAAAGGTTCAATACATATGCAGAACATATTGACCTAGATGGACATTTACAGATGTGTTTAAAACAGCAAATATGTTGTTCTTGTTAGGTTTAAGAAGATTATGCAAGGGTTTTATGCTCCTCCCTCCCCACACCCTGTCCTCAGTCTGGACTATGAGAAAAAGATCAAATTACAGCATCATTTCCCCAACACGTGTAATGTCCATCCATTTCTTTAATGTTGTTATTAATCACAATTCATATTCATAAAAGGACTGCATTCTTTAATATATATCAATAGATAGGCAAGAATACTAGAATCAGTATGATTTTTTTTTTAGTAAAATAGATAATCTATCATAGATGTTAATCTTCCCAATACCTGGCAGTTCAGATGTGGATAACAATACACCATTATAAAAATATGTATATATATATATATGATTTCTAACAAATCATCTGTGGATTAAAGCTGTTGTTATTTAAACAAGAGACCTATGGGCCAGACTAGCTCACTGGATACCAACTGACCTCTGTCGGTTAAAACCCGTCTTTTAAACTTAAATGTATCTCTAAAATCATTTCATAATCATGTAACGCCTTATAGGAAACTGTAAACAGTGTGACACCTAGCTGCTAGCAGGCTAGAGACAAAAACAAACCTGATAAACAAACACACTTGTGCTGAAACAGCACGAATAAAACTCATCTTACCATAGCTCCGTCTCTGTTTGAAGGGCCTGTCGGATGGCATAACTGGGCTTGAATGTGGTAAAAAAGGAACTAAACGGAGTTATTTGTTATTATTCGCTAAATTCTCGGTCCTTTTCGAGCTCCTGACTCACTGTAAGCAAAACAGCTCGAGACAATAAACTAAAGTTCGTGACGTCATAGCAGAATTTAAAGGGACAGCAGCCAGTTTAAGTACAGGCCTACGTACATAAACGAATAACAAAACATTTGCAAAGTATTTATCCTAATCTTATAAATTAAGTTTCTGCAACTATTTGGCATTTTAGTAACCCTTTATAATAGCTTAATTACTAAGTATTTTGAACATTATCCATTATTTAGCAGATCAATAGTTCATATACATTCAAATCCATCTATGAATCTAATTATGTTATGTTTCTCCATTATGTTTTACATTATGGTAAACTGTATAACACTTTGGCTTTATCATTTCATTCCATATGAAAATATACAGGCAAACAATAAATTAAAGGAAATGCATTGTTGTTTTATTATCCTTTTTTAGCATACACAAACAAGTACAGTATGTGTCATAGTGTCATGTTGATGCTTACAGATGATGAACAGCTGAAGAAGTTGCAAAAGAGAGAATATGAGAGAAAAATAAATTACAAAATAAAGAGCAAATTAATGGAATGATAAGCAAGAGCAGTACAAACTGAATACTTGCAATAAGCTATAACTTCACTTTCCTAGAACATGAAACGAAACACTTCCGGCAATTAATTAAAAAAGAAAAAAATACTATGGCAACAACTATGAAGAATTCAGGACTACTCCGTAGGATTTTGAATGACGATCAGGAAATAGTCCTTGTCTGTGTACAGAACAGAATAAAATACATTACTAATTTATGATCATAATCATCAGTATATTTAGCTTTGTGTCGACAGCCAGCAAAAATACAATTATATGGCATATACAACTCACATCTGTTTAGGTTTTTGTATTCTGAATAGAAATATACAGTACATTACACACACACACACACACACACACACACAATGTTTACACACAGTGTAGATACACCAGCTTTTAACCACACGTTCTGAACAAATGGATCAGATTCGCTTCAAAACAGTCAGTCCTAAACATCACATCTGACATTCACATGGTCTGCATGTCTGCTGGCAGCTATTTGATTGAGAAAAATATTATTCAATATTAAAAACATATTCCTGATCTACAAAAAAAGAAACTGAAAATATAATCTATTCAATTCAAGACAAAACATGGTTAGTCAAAAACTAATCAAAAACCTGTAGATTAGTTTCAAAGGCCCACTGGCTCGAAGATTCCCCACTGTTGTTTTTTTGTTTTGTCTTGTTTTGTTTTTGTAGAATTTGAAGTTAGATTGTTTTAACATTTTAAAGGAATAGTTCAAATAAAAATTTGCTTAAAATGTACTCACCCTCAGTCCATCCAAGATGTAGATTAGTTTTTTTCCTCATCGGGAAATGATTTGGAAAAATTTAGCATTACATCAGTTGCTGACCAATGAATCCTCAGCAGTGAATGGGTGCCGTCAGAATGAGAGTTCAAATGACAAGAGTTTCAAACGGCTCCAGTCCATCAATAAATGTCTTGTAAAGTGTGTATTATTCTCAGAAAAGATTACTTTTTCACTGGAAAAATCAATATTTTAGGCTAGATTATGGACTTGTGTTTTAGCCGGAAGCAGTGGTTTAAAGTTAAAAAACATCTCAATGATGAATTTGTTAAACATGCAGCTTTTTGCGTCACTGGAGTCGTGACGTTAACTTGTACATTATTGTGATGTATCAGCTGTGTGGACTCTCATTCTGACGGCACCCATTCACTGCAGAGGATCAAGTGATGTAATGCTAAATTTGTCCAAATCTGCTCTTATGAAGAAACAAGCTCATCTAGCATGGCCTGAGGGTGGGTAAATTTTCAGCAAAGTTTCATTTTTGGGTGAACTATTCCTTAATAATAATTATTATAATTATTGTAATTTTAAAAAATATTGATTTAAAGGGGCCATCAGTTGAAATTTTCACTTTTTAAGATTTTTTTTTGCATTTAGGTTTCTGACATGTCTGCCAGCTCAGAAAAGCTGAAAAGAAAACACAGCCAGTTTGTTATGAGCTGTCTGAGTCTGAAACTGTGTCATCCAGCGAGCTGTTTCAAATTGCAGCCAGTTTCTACGTAGATAGCTAGCTATTTGAATACGAAGTCCAAGGCAGCGATTCACTTGTCTTTTGTTGACACGCCCCACGGAAGAAAGGAGTGGGGTGAGCAATAGCTCATTATCATTTAAAGAGCAATGCACCGAAACGGTCGCTGTGAACAGAGCTGTTTTTGACAAGGTAAAAAGGGTGTTTATTACATGACCACTGAGGAATTTTAACCAAGGTATGTTGCAGACATTTCATGAAGACCCTAAAGAATCATACCAACTTGTGGAAAATGGGCATCCGATGTCCCCTTTAAATTATTTTAAGTCATCCTCTGGCTTGGAAGTTTGTTTGCGAACCACTGCACTAACCTAATGGAATTACGTAAGCATTACGTAAGTGTACATCTCTTTACCTGGGGCAATCATAATCTCATTCTTCTTTGATCGAACTCGGAGAAAGGTGAGATCATTTTGAGGGTCGATGTCCCTCACCATTCCCCGAGCTTTCATGAGCAGCTGATGGACATTACCAGCATACTGAACTGTGCTTGAGTTGTCAAGCGTGCTTTTGATAGGGATGCCTATTAAAAGAGCACATAGAAATATTAGATACAAAGTTCTCTTTCTTTGATCAATTTCATGCTGCCACTGAAGCGCATCACAAACGAAAACATCTGCAAGCATTTCTCATTTGCCAGATACCTTCTGCATTAACAATGATGATTCCTTGTACTCCTTTCTGACTCTGAATCCTTTTGATCGTCTCTTCCACCTCAGCCTGCAACATAAACGCAAAAGTTATTAAAACGGCAAAAGTAACATGAAAAAAGCCGTATGTCACTGCTTAGTATCTAATATCCTTCAAAACAGCCGCTCTGTAAAATCCGTCTGCGGAAAAAATAGACGTATTTTTGATTTTGTTTATTATATTTACTCGAGCAGTAGCTGGTTACTAAGTGCCATCTCTTTTATGACAACGCCCTGCAGTCAACGTTAGCCCACAAAAACCTTAACCGAGACAATAACGAGCTAATAAACATGTACAAGCACATATTAGGACGTTTAAGAGCTAAACTGTACTTGCCATTGTGAAGGTAATTCGCCTTTTTCGTTGCTTAGATTCTTCTTCTTCTTCTTCTTTTGGAGTTTTATGGCGGTTGGCAAACAAACGATAGGTGCATTCCCGCCACCTACTGGGCTGGAGTGTGGACCATTGACGGAATAGGAAGAACTAAAATAAATAAATAAATAAATAAAACCCTTCTGAATCCTGCTAAACAGATCTACTTTTTTTTAAAGAATGTCATTAAAGCATTATATATTTTATAATGATTCAAGCCATTATTCAACAAAGTTTTAAGTGTAATATTTTCTATCCCTATTTCTTTTAATTCTTCCATCAGAAATGCTCTTTGTGTGTTGTCAAACTGATGAAGATGTTTTCTTAATTTGCTGGTGTTTTTTCAATTTGCATGTGTTCTCTTAACTTGTAGCGCGTTGAGCTCTCTCGGCCACCGTAAGTATGGCCAGTGCAAAGTCTGGTAATAATTGTATCTTCTCTTCTACGACCAAAATTAACTCCAACTTGATTTTGAATATGATAAAGATGTCTTCCTCTCAACTCCTTATTCCAAACTTCTTGCCATCTAATTTTTATTGCTGTTCTAATTTTAGCCTTAACTTCTTCTTTGCTTCGTTGCTTAGATTGATGGTGCAAGCTAACGGAACTAGAAGTATGTAGTATGTGAATGGTCGGTCATGCGTTACTGCCCTCTGCTAGACTGGAGAAAAGCAGGTCACTGCAACAGCTCTGAGGCCTCTCATATATATACAGTATATATATATATATATATATATATATAAAGAAGGATTTAATTTAATTAAATTTTATTATTATTTATGCACTGAATTAGTGTTCTTTTTTGCTAAGGATGTTCTCCACTATAGGAAGTGGGATATAGGAAATTCTTTAGTTAAGGTGTCTTTGATCACATGAAGTAGATATGTATATTTTATATTAAAAGGGACTTTATATTAATACCCAATATGTGGTTTAACAATGAATGATAATAATAATAATAATAATAATAATAATAATAAAAGTGTAACTTATTTTAACTGCTGTAAAAACTTTACATTGCCAAAAGTGACATGGCAGATGGAACAGGTTTTAAAAACAAATAACGGAAAGTTTAGTTGCAGACTTTGAATGTTTGCTCCACAGGGTGTAAAAAAAGATGGACGACGCACCTTCACTCTCTTCCAAGGCAAGGCAAGGCAAGTTTATTTATATAGCACATTTCGTACACAATGAGCGTCCCCAGAATCCTGGCAGCAGCGTTCTGGATGAGCTGCAGCTGTCTAATGGTCTTCTTGTGCAGGCTGGTGAGGAGACCATTACAATAGTCTACCCGGCTGGTAATAAAGGCATGAACAAGTTTCTCCAAGTCTTGACTGGAAAAATGCAATGACTTCCGTTTTCTCCTTGTTTAACTGAAGAAAATTTTGGCACATCCAACATTTCATCAATGCATTGGCAGAGGGAGTCAATGGGGCTGTAGTCATTTGGAGATAAGGCTAGGTAAATCTGGGTATCATCAGCATAGCTGTGATAGGCAATTTGGTTCTTTCTCATTATTTGACTTAGTGGGAGCATACACAGGCTAAACAAGAGCAGTGCAAGAATTGAGCCTTGTGGGACTCTGCATGTCATGGACGTCCACTTAGACTTATGCTCTCCTATACTCACATAATAACCTCTCCCTTCAAAGTATGAATAAGTATGAATATTCCATTGAATAAAAGTGAAGCCGCCAATGTCCCAATAGGGAGAGGACATATTGTAAACACTTGAACTTACATCAGCGTGATAAAAAGCTACATAAAATGACAAAAACCATCTTTAGACAAAAAATTATTTGAAGTGAAATTGTATTATTTAGTTTGTCTCACGTCCCATTAGATTACATGGAGAGGGCGGGGTTTAT